TAATTCTTTGAGGTGACATTGTCGGTAAATTTTCAAAAATTTTTTTAATTTTTTGGTTTAAATTTGACCAACTGCCGAAAGATTAGCATATGTACTTTATTTACACCAAAGGATTTGTAATTCTATTAAAGCAATAAAAACGCCACCTTTTTTAGAAAATTGAAGTTTCGGTCGGTAACAATATGACTTCAGCATCCTCTTAAGTCTCTTGACCAGAAAACGGAACCACGAACGATTAGTTGAGGCCTCTAACAGGGTAATATCGATCTTTACGATCGTTGACCTGTTCTCAGCGAAAGAAAATCGTTTCGGCTCGCGCGGTCGCCTCTTCTCATACCGACCAGCGAGCAAACACCATAAAATACTTTTATGGTTGCGTCTGCCCATATGCCTGACCCTACTCCTTTCCCTCCAGGTTAGGACGTAACACTAGCAAGGCTCAGTATCCGAAGCACAAATTAATACAGAATAAATCAAATAACTTTTTCATTTAAAGAATTTGAAATATATGCACCTAAAATTTGTGTTGCAAACATTTTACGTTATACCTGTTCATTAGCATTTTCATCGATATCTTTGATTGTAGATTGTGTCGATAACTTATCCAGTTTTACTGTTAATATTTTTTGCAAAACCTGGAACATGAATGTCAGTGTATAAGATGTATATAAATGTATATAAGATATTATCAACAATTCTGATTATTATTTATATAATAATATATTGTGCGTTATACAATTTGAGCAAAAAAATATAAACTTACAGAATTCTTTTCTTGTGTATTTTTCGAAGATGTCTTACTATTCAGTGAATCATCAATGATTTCATCTGACGATGTGTCACTACTTGATGCTGTTATCATCAAGCGTTCCGGAATAGTAGACAACCTTTTGAAACTTTCCAGTCGCTTTATAATATTATCTTTCGAGTCTGTAAAATAATAAATCACACTTTTAATGTCTGTTTGAGGTAATTAAAAAAGATTGATGTTGCAAGTTTTGTAGCAATCTTGTGATATACTACTATATGATGGGTTTAATAAAAAGTATGTTATTTACATATTTTTGAAAGGAATAATTTTATTCCTTAAATGGAATAATTTTTATCCTTTCAAAAATATGTAAATAATATACCTTTTTATTAAATCCATCTTATAGTATCTATAATATATATATATTATCGGCGCTATATATATATCATAGAAACAAAATATGCATTACGTACCTTCTAATAACATAATTATTCCTGAGTACATTTTTTTGTTCACCTCCAAACAATACTTGACATTGTCTTTATGTGTGTTTTTTGAAAAATTTCGGATTTCTGAAGTATGCACAATTATTTTTTTCCCTCTGTTGGGACCTTCAAGGAGTTTCACATACGTAGGGTTGCCAGGAGTTAAAAGTATATAAAGAGAACTTTTTCCCCTAAAAAAAGAGGACAAAAAGAGGACATGTATGAAAATATGCAAATATCCATTTATTTACACTTATCAACAGTAGTTTATATTTATTACGTAAATAAAAGTATAATTTGTTTGAAAAAGAACATTTTTATTAAAAT